CCCGCCTCTGCAGCAGCGCCCCGCCCCCTCTGCAGCAGCGTCCCCGCTCCCCTGTGCAGCAGCGTCCCGCCCCGTGGGTCCTGGCCCGCCCCCTCTGCAGCAGCGCCCCGCCCCCTTCTGCAGCAGTTCCCCCGCCCTGTCCCCCCAGAGTTCAGGGGAAGTGAGCTGTGTGCACCCACCTTCCCCCGGGGCTTGTGCACAGGGGTAAGCCCCACACCCGCCCCGACTCCAGGCCACCAGAGTGGCCGAGTGCATCTCCTGCCCCACATTTAAATCCTCTGCCCTTCCCAGGACGATTTGAAATCCCTCTTCCCCCTTCCCCATGCGTTGGCTGCCGGGGGTAACCGCTTCGCTGCCTCCTCCTGGCACCGCACGGTGGCTGGTTGCTGGAGTCGCTGACTCTGCTTCCGGAATGCCGGTGGCCCAGTGCCCGGGGCTGCCCTGGCCTGTTTCCCCGCACGCTGAGGTCCCGGAATCCTGCACACACTTAGGCGTACAGCCCGAGTGCCTCTCCCTGTAGGGCTCCCCGCTGCGGCCGGGCCACAGCTTCCTGCGGGACGGCACCTCGCTGGGCATGCTGCGGGAGCTGATGGTCGTCATCCGCATCTGGGGCCTGCTGAAGCCCAGCTGCCTGCCCGTGTACACGGCCACCTCAGACACCCAGGACAGCATGTCGCTGCTCTTCCGCCTGCTCACCAAGCTCTGGATCTGCTGTAAGACCTCGCCCCCAGCCCTCGTCCCCCCGCCACCATACAAGTCCTGGCTGAGAGCCCCCAGCCCCCAAATACCAGGCCCCAGGTCAGACTGTCGTGGTTCCCAGTGCCCAGCACAGATGCTCATGGAGCAACAGCACCGGCTGCTGCCTCGTGTCGCTGGATCCCTGATGCCAGGAAGGGAGCCCAGGGCTCGCTGCGTGCTCGGTAGTCGGGGAGCCTGGCGCTCTGCGGCTGGCAGTGCATCCCCGTGGTCCCCTCCCCGCAGGCCGTGACGAGGGCCCCACGAGCGAGCCGGATGAGGCCCTTGTGGATGAGTGTTGCCTGCTGCCCAGCCAGCTGCTCATCCCCAGCCTGGACTGGCTGCCCGTCAGCGACGGCCTGGTCAGCCGCCTGCAGCCCAAGCAGCCTCTGCGCCTGCACTTCGGCAGGGCCCCCACGCTGCCCGCCAGCGCCAGCACCCTGCAGCTGGACGGCCTTGTCAGGTGCGTGCCGCCTCTGCCCCGCGGCCTCCGCCTGCGCCGGGCCAGCCGCTGCTCTCTGGCCTTGATCGTGACGCTGGCCCCGGGAGACATCCTCGCTCGGCCGGTGATGGCCCTGCCGCCTATCCATGCCTGCACTTGGGCATCTGTGTGCGTCACCGTTCCTCCAGTCTCCCCCTGCGTGGAGTGTCGCGTGGCCGGTGTCTGACTCAGGCCCCAGCCCCTGTGGAGCTCAAGCATGTCCTGCGCGGCCCCTGGCCTCCTGTGGAAGAGCATAGTGCAGACGCTACAGTGTGGCCCAGGGCCCCGGGTGGACAAACCACAGCATCAGGCAGGGTGCTCTCGGGGCGAGAGGCAACCTCCGGAACCTGCCCTGGGCAGCTGCCGTTGGAACGCGTGGGTGGGGTCAGCCCTACTGCCCAGCAGCACCTGGGGCAGGGTTTCGTCCCCGCTCTTTAGGCAGGAAAGATGCACTGATCCGAGGTCACGCAAGGTGCTTCTCCATTTCAGACACTCACGTGACAGACTCGCGTGAATTCCCCACGCATCTGTTACTTTGGGTGGAAATTTCAGAAAACGCAGATGAGCCAAACGGAGACCGTTAGCCCCGTACGGCCCCCTTTAGGTGAAATACTTGGGCATTGGGCTCCGCAAGCTTCTGGCATCTTTCTTGTCTCATAACGGGAGGGACCGCTTGATAAGTACCAGGTTTTCATTTGTGCTTGGCTTTCAGGAAAAACTTTTAAGAGGGGGTCGATCACAAGGAGGTGTTTTGTTTTGTTTTTAAAGACTTTATTTGACAGAGAAAGACACAGCGAGAGAGGGAACACAAGCAGGGGGAGTGGGAGAGGGAGAAGCAGGCCTCCCGCTGAGCAGGGAGCCCGAT